TTATCCGCGTTTTAATATGCTGTGGTCATATAGCTTTTTAGATGGATGCCGAAGCTTTTTAGGTCGGGTAAAATCTGCTATTTCTGACACAGTTCATTTGCTCACTTCCATGACTACAGTATGCAGTGTTTGCTGCAAACTGGCAACCCAGGCTGCCAAAATACTGTTGGGTAAACCGTAAGTGGGTGGAATCTCACAGACCAAAACAAAAACAGTCATTCCGTCATGGAATGCACATTTTCAAAGTGCAATAACTGGCTGGAGAAAATGTGAACTTTCTATACTTGTTTCCTGAATATCTTCAAATGTATTATTGTGTTTTTATGCTTTAGTGCAGTAAAAAAAAAAAAAACACAGCACCTTTAAGCTTTTTCAGGTAACTGCTTTAAAGGAGCATGCTGCTCTTCTCAGCTGCTATTTCAGAAGGACATGCTTCTGGTTTCAGATTCGCCATCAGTTTGTGGTTGGTGGGTGTCAGCCTATGGTTTGTTTGTTTTTTGTTTTTGCTGCTCTCTCTGCTCATTCATGATAACAGGCTGCATGGATGAGCGGGGAGTTTTTACCCAGAACAGAACCATACCGCCAAATCCAAACTGTATGCAAAGTGTCAATCATTTTGACGATAGTGGTCCTGACAGAAATCAAGCATATAGCGTTAGTTCTGGCAGGTCACGTCAAGCTTGCATCGGCTGACTCTCAGCTGATCCACATCTACCTCTAGGATATGATGCCTATCACGGCATTCCTATATAAGGTCTATTCAGTATTATTCAGTGCCTTTATCGCTTGTTCAGGAACAAATTGCCCTCCTCCATCCCTAACTCCTCCTTTCGTCACAGTCAGAACTTGGCTTTCTAATATTCCTCGTTGAATCAGACTCCTTTTATCTTTAATAATGTTGTTACAGTAAAATGTAGGGCTGGGCGGTTTTTCCGGTTTTATAGATTTTGAATTGAATGTTTTACCACAATTAAATTTTTTATAAACCGAGGAATCATTTTTTTGAATAGAAATATTACCAAATGTTAGATTTAGACACTTTGACAATATGCCAATGTTAACAGTAAAGAGAAAAGAATGATCCAACCGCATGTCGGCACACGTGATTAACCGCTCACGTGTGACGCGCTCTGTGAAGGACCATAAGGTGCCATTCACACAGAATGTGCTTTTGTGTTGACAAAGATGCGACGCGGGCAGTGGAATAGGAAAAATGCAGAAAGATGGGAGTGAACTTCTTTTAACTTGTGCGCCGTGTTTTTATAATGCCATTTCATGCATAAGACTCTGCAAGAGACATGAGCGCAACAGTCAAACGCATCCATGTTCACATAGAAAAAAACAAAGGAAGAGCAGCGCAATCCAATAAAAACCTGTAAAGAACTACTACTGTATGTCTGTAATTTCATGTTTGCATCATGGTGACAGCCTGTTCATTGTTTTGTTAATAATACTGGTCTACTGGTGTTACATCTTCAGTCGTTTTGAATTTGATTTACCTTGACTTTTGAGATTTTTTTTAAAGCATTTTCCATGTATTATTTCTGATCATATAATATGCATAAGACAAGTTTGTACAAGATGTAGTTGTAGTTCATGCATCTTTTTTGCAAAGATATTTAACAAGTGATTTGTTTAACATTTACATCATGTTGACAACTTCATGTGTGGTGCACTTGAAATATAAATGTCTTTAACTAGAGGGTTAATAAAGAAAAAGTTACTTGAATCATGTTGTAGTAACATTTTCAAGTTGACTAGTTAAAATCGTAAAAAAATCGAGAATCGGTCAAACGTTCTTTTTTTTTTTTCATATCACCCAGCCCTACTAAAATGTCATTAAGAACATTAATGATATCTGCATTGGGTTCTGTTTTGTTTTGTTTACAGAACAGAACCATGCCGCCAATCCAAACTGTATGCAAAGTGTCAATCATTTTGACAATAGTGGTCCTGACAGAACTTTATTTATCGTGCACTTTCAGCTTTACAACTTTACGTTTACAGTCACATACAGCTACATTATACACTGCATAAAAGGCAATATTTGAAATGGCATAATAGGGGCACTTTAACATAATAGTGTCACTTAGTGTAACAAATTTTCTGTTTGACATTTTCAAACTGTTTTCTTTCAGATAGAGAGCCTAAACTTAATCATTTGTGCTACTGTACAAAGCACATGCGCTGAGGCAGTTTTTAATTGGTTGCTAGTTGCTAAACAACTTACTGTAACATTCTAACACTGCGTGGTTTCATACCATACACCTTAAGAACTGCGATCAAGGTGTAAAATTGCCAAAACCATTTCATAACTCAAAGTTAAGACTAGAACTAAACCCCTTTCAAAATTAAAAGTATGAAATAGGGCTACATTAAATTGAGTATTAACCCTTTTGGACACATTCAGACATAGCTGAACAGTATCACTGCATGTTTGAAACATGGCCTCTACTGCTTGGTTTCATTACGTGAGACACATCGTGACAAACCCTGTCCTTGCCAAATGGTTTACAGTCCTTGGACTTGTTTTTGGAGAGGAGGAGTGATATCAGCTTTGGCCTTTGCTCTTACCTTTACTACAGTTCAAGGAGCTTTAGTAACTGAGTACTCTGTTAAATAAATAACCAAAGACATACTGTACAAGAAATGTAAAGCACTAATGAATACATTAATGGAAGTAGTTTACACAATTCTGATCTTTCTTAAACAGTGTATAGGCTGTTCTGGGCTTTATTCTTTGTGAAATGTGTCTTGGATGCTGCTCTATTGTATAATGCAGGGTTTCCCAAACGAGGGTGAGTTAATGAAAAGTCAATTATAATTAAATGCAACATTAACAAAATAAAGCAGACGGGCTGAATGTGAATGCATATTCAGTCTTTGACAGCAGGTGAAAAGCAGTGACATAGTGTTTCCTTGGTTACCGCTGTAAACAATATTTTAATATGCAATATTAAATTTAATATCAACATTTTTTGATGATTGAGTCAATGGAACTCGATTTTATTTTATTTTATTTTTGTTTGTTTTATTTTCCAATTCATTGCTTTAAATATAAGCAGTCATAAATGCAGTTTCAGATTTTTCTCGAGGTTAGTTTATAACGTTTGCAAAGTTTTTTTGCACCAAAAAGGTTCAATATTTAAAAAAAATTATCATTCATCATATCCACACGTTCCTTTACAGCATTGTGCATTTTGATACTCAACATGGCAAGCGCTGTGATAGAGCCATATATGTTTAAGCCCAAGTCAAAAGAAACTGAAACAGCACAACCACAGTGATTGCAACAGTCTGTTTCAGCATGATAACTGTTTTTGCTCGCTTAAGTGCTTAATTTTCAGTATATAGTTTAAAAGTGCTGCTGTCATTACTGTCATATTACATTAGATGCTGCATGTACACAGGTATGAACTGATTTTATTATCAACACTCAAACAATGATATGCTTGGAAGGAAGGCTGTGCAAAGTTTTTGGAGGTGCAGTTTCTTTACTTCCACTGACAGAACAATGTCTCGAATTTGACTGTCTAACTCGATGTCTTTATCCAACAGCAGTATTGTTCTTGTGATTGATGGACAGACATGAGTTGGTCAGAACACACCTCACTGATTACATACGGTGATGATTTCACGATTCTCCCAATTTCAACTACAGGTATTTCAGAAGGGTAGAAAAGAATAATTCATATTATGGGGAGTTCTGAAACTTGCAGTATGTTTTATTGAAGAGTAACCTCTTATACAGGTGCATCTCAATAAATTAGAATGTCGTGGAAAAGTTCATTTATTTCAGTAATTCAACTCAAATTGTGAAACTCGTGTATTAAATAAATTCAATGCACACAGACTGAAGTAGCTACTTCAGTCTGTGTGCATTGAATTTATTTAATACACGAGTTTCACAATTTGAGTTGAATTACTGAAATAAATGAACTTTTCCACGACATTCTAATTTATTGAGATGCACCTGTATGTGTAAATTATCAAGAACATTTCGATCCTCTTTGATTTCATGACCTCTTCAATGGAAATAAAACTGAAATAGCGATATATCAAATTGTGATTATTAAATCCTGCAATTTAATTAAAGAAGTATAGATTCAGTTGCGCTGCATGCTTTAGAGTGAAGAGCGGTACTGTGTTCATTTGCATGCATGCAGCTTATAATACAGTGTTTTCACAGTGACTTGGTTCACAATAAATGTTGCTTCTCACGAACTCATTCTCTGCCAGCGCTGTTTTACGTCTGAGTAATACATGCATTTGGGAACGCAACGTGAACCAGGTCTGATTTATTTACATTCGCAATTTCGCATTCCGATATTTGGCAACATTTTTGTGGACAGAAGTTTACAGCATTTCACCAATATTCTGCCAAACTAAAAGCTCAAGGATTTGTAATGTTAAAAGCATGAGTGAACGTTTGGAACTGAAGAATTTAAGACATTTTTGAATTGTAACTTGTAGTGTTAGTTGGCTCTCGCAAAGAGTGTATCTGTTGCTGTGTTAAATTGTTGAAACATAAACTTATTTCAAGTAAATATTTTGGTATTCACTGAGAAAAAAGTTTGGGAATCCCTGATATAAAGGAAGGTGCGACAGCAACATAACATGCACTGTTTTTCCAAGTTGCTTTTTAAGTGCCAGTCCTCTATCTGTCTTGTTACGATCTACTCAAAGTGCAAAGGTTTTTTTTTTAACCCGCATGTGTCAAGCCACTATCTTGTTTCCTCTTTTTAACTCTGTTATGTTATTTTTATTTGTAAGTGGGAAGGCAAATTCTTACACTTTGTGTGGCAAATAAAGAGTTGTCTTTCCTTCGTCATATCCAAGCATGTCACAGAGCATCAGACATTTGGTTTTAAAAGAGCTTTTGCTAATTATTTGAGAATCAAGATGTAATTCATACTATTGAATGTTACCCTAATATCAGTGTTTGGACAACAATGGAAGGTTGATAATGCAAAAGATTAATCAAATCTAAATATTTTGAAATGTCCATGTTCATCTCCAGTTTCATGAACGGAAGTGCATGTGTCGGTATACCTATTTGGTAACTGATAATTCACTTTGGTGCCAGTGTTGGGGATCAAGTTAATGTTTTATTTATGAAAAAAAAATATATTAAAGATTGAACTGTGAAGTTACTGAATCACTCACATCTTATTGTGACATTGGCTACATATTGACAGGATAGTCACTGTGTGCCCCGTGCAGTGTGACTGTTGTATTCTTAACTTTTACTGTTTTACCTTTGGTATGCTTTCCAAAATGAAGTAGACTGTTACGAACAAGATTTTTTTTTAATTGTTAGTATTTTCAAGTATTTTACTGCTAGACTATTTTCATATAAACTGTATATTATGTTATTTTACATGTTTATTAAGCCTATTAAAAAGTGCAGCAGAAGCACATATCATCTGATTACTTTTGGATGCAGATTTGAGGAAGTTATCATTCACTCACTCTCCTTCTTTCTGATCATTTGCATAATTTCCATCCTGCACACTATATTCCTCAAGTGTTGCCTTACATGGCTATACAAGTTGCTAGGACTGTCTCGGTGAAAGAATTTCCCTTGCGGTAATTTTGGGTGGCTCAGTAGCGCAGTATGCGGTATTATCGGCATATATATATATATATATGTATGTATACACACACACACACATACATACATACATACATATACATATATATATATATGTGTGTGTGTGTGTATACATATATATATATATGTATACACACACACATATACAGGTGCATCTCAATAAATTAGAATGTCGTGGAAAAGTTCATTTATTTCAGTAATTCAACTCAAATTGTGAAACTCGTGTATTAAATAAATTCAATGCACACAGACTGAAGTAGTTTAAGTCTTTGGTTCTTTCTTTTGTGATGATTTTGGCTCACATTTAACAAAAACCCACCAACTCACTATCTCAACAAATTAGAATACTCCATAAGACCAATAAAAAAAAACATTTTTAATGAATTGTTGGCCTTCTGGAAAGTATGCTCATTTACTGTACATGTACTCAATACATGGTAGGGGCTCCTTTTGCTTTAATTACCGCCTCAATTCGGCGTGGCATGGAGGGGATCAGTTTGTGGCACTGCTGAGGTGGTATGGAAGCCCAGGTTTCTTTGACAGTGGCCTTCAGCTCATCTGCATTTTTTGGTCTCTTGTTTCTCATTTTCCTCTTGACAATACCCCATAGATTCTCTATGGGGTTCAGGTCTGGTGAGTTTGCTGGCCAGTCAAGCACACCAACACCATGGTCATTTAACCAACTTTTGATGCTTTTGGCAGTGTGGGCAGGTGCCAAATCCTGCTGGAAAATGAAATCAGCATCTTCAAAAAGCTGATCAGCAGAAGGAAGCATGAAGTGCTCCAAAATTTATTGGTAAACGGGTGCAGTGACGTTGGTTTTCAAAAAACACAATGGACCAACACCAGCAGATGACATTGCACCCCAAATCATCACAGACTGTGGAAACTTAACACTGGACTTCAAGCAACTTGGACTATGAGCTTCTCCACCCTTCCTCCAGACTCTAGGACCTTGGTTTCCAAATGAAATACAAAACTTGCTCTCATCTGAAAAAAGGACTTTGGACCACTGGGCAACAGTCCAGTTCTTCTTCTCCTTAGCCCAGGTAAGACGCCTCTGACGTTGTCTGTGGTTCAGGAGTGGCTTAACAAGAGGAATACGACAACTGTAGCCAAATTCCTTGACACGTCTGTGTGTGGTGGCTCTTGATGCCTTGACCCCAGCCTCAGTCCATTCCTTGTGAAGTTCACTCAAATTCTTGAATCGATTTTGCTTGACAATCCTCATAAGGCTGCAGTTCTCTCGGTTGGTTGTGCATCTTTTTCTTCCACACCTTTTCCTTCCACTCAACTTTCTGTTAACATACTTGGATACAGCACTCTGTGAACAGCCAGCTTCTTTGGCAATGAATGTTTGTGGCTTACCCTCCTTGTGAAGGGTGTCAATGATTGTCTTCTGGACAACTGTCAGATCAGCAGTCTTCCCCATGATTGTGTAGCCTAGTGAACCAAACTGAGAGACCATTTTGAAGGCTCAGGAAACCTTTGCAGGTGTTTTGAGTTGATTAGCTGATTGGCATGTCACCATATTCTAATTAGTTGAGATAGTGAATTGGTGGGTTTTTGTTAAATGTGAACCAAAATCATCACAATTAAAAGAACCAAAGACTTAAACTACTTCAATCTGTGTGCATTGAATTTATTTAATACACAAGTTTCACAATTTGAGTTGAATTACTGAAATAAATAAACTTTTCCACGACATTCTAATTTATTGAGATGCACCTATAATGGAAGTGAATGGGAATCACGGCTTTGAGAGTCAAAAAACATACACAAACAAAACCAAATTAAACCCTGCGGCTCGTGACGATACATTGATGTGTAAAGACACGAAACGATCGGTCTGTGCAAGAAAATGAACAGTATTTATATCGTTTTTTTACCTCAATGTCCGAACTGTCCTGAGCGCGTTCTCAACAGCCGGCGCGTGACGCGAAACCTGGGCTTCCATACCACCTCAGCAGTGCCACAAACTGATCACCTCCATGCCACGCCGAATTGAGGTAGTAATTAAAGCAAAAGGAGCCCCTACCAAGTATTGAGTACATGTACAGTAAATGAACATACTTTCCAGAAGGCCAACAATTCACTAAAAATGTTTTTTTATTGGTCTTATGAAGTATTCTAATTTGTTGAGATAGTGAATTGGTGGGTTTTTGTTAAATGTGAGCCAAAATCACCACAATTAAAAGAACCAAAGACTTAAACTACTTCAGTCTGTGTACATTCTCTTAAACAGAAGAGAATGACAAAATAACGATCCACATAACAGAACATAAACCTGACAATAAGATTGTTAGGCTATTGTTAGCCTATATGTATAACAGTTCGTTCTGATCCTCGAATCTGACTGGACAAGAGACTTTTTATTGATATTTCCACCTGCGCGTTCTAGACGGGCTATCAGTCAGTCTTTAAACCGTTCGTTCAACTACACGTTCAAAAACGCTGATTCATTCAAAGAGAGACGTAATGAAACACGCTGTTGAAATCATTTTAACTTTGAGCACCACGTTAGAAGGCTCAGCTGACCAGCAATGCATCGATGCTAAGAGAGATTTGGGTTTCCTTGGACATGACAACCTATTTTCACAATATACTGTATATGACTCGCAAGTAATCGCACATGCTTAGTTGATCTCTCATTCGCTGTCTGTTTAGGCTTGTTAAGTGCAAATCTATGGAGCTTTTGTACAAATCATAATGGCACACATTGGTATCATTACGAACTTATTTAATATTCAGTACACATGCACTAAGTGTAAAACAAGAAGGGCATAACTCTATGAAAAAAGAAAACGCAAAAATCGCGTTTGCTGCGGTTCTTGCATTCCACTGCGGTTTGCTCGTCAGTAGTGCGATATTACGGTTATCACGACAGGCCTTGCTCTGTAATTAAATAACGCAGCCCTATTTTATTACTGATTCATTTAATTGTGGCATCGATTTAGGGTTTTGTAATGTGATATGCATGATTTACATGATGTTGCGTTTAGTTAAACCAAGGTTTGTATTTGTATCCATTGGTGTTGGTGTAGTCTTGTTGGTACAGTCCTCATTGAATGCACCAGTCAGACAAAAGGGGCAGTTTTTAAAAGGAACGTAGATACACAAACATCTGCAGAGTGTGGAGGAAACAGAGCATGCTGGGTAATCTCATGCATCTTCTATACCACTTTGACATCTGCTGTCTGTACTGTAGCTTTTGGCATTGTGCAATGGTCAGGTGTTGGATTCTGTCTAAAATCTAGACGTTTGTGATTCATTGTATTGTGTTATCTTCTGCTTGTAATTGGTAGAACATTAACCCTTCACTTTATGGGTGAACTCTTATGACTGTCTTGTTGTGTACAAGGAGTTGAGTTCAGTTCGCTGAAAGTTACTATTGTGGAATATAGACTTGTGAATAGAATTTGTGGTGAGGTAGGGTTGCCATTAAAGTGAAAGTGTAACATTTCACAGTTTAGCAAATGGCTTATGTTGTTCAGATAATTCCACAGATTAGGCTAAAGTCCATTTCACCTAAACTTTGATGCTCATAAAATTAATCTATATGAATCAAGCAGTTCAATCCAACTTTTCTGAAGAGACACAATTGCTTTATATGATACGAGGGTAAGTAAATGGGGATTTTCAGTTTTTTGGGTGAACTAACCCTCAATTCTCTCAAACTGAGAATTGAGAAATCTCTTCCCTGATCTTTTGAATTGTACTATAAAACTTTCTTCTTAGTCCGAAAACACATTTTTATTGAAACCAAGCTGTCAACAACAATAGAATACTTGGAATAAAAACAGATATATATAAGTTGTCCAAATGTGCAGTTCTTAGTTGTGGAAGAAAATTGTCACCGTATAACTTTCAAAGGATTCTAATATTTGGGAAGTGCTATTTATTTTAACAAAGTGCCTGATCATGTTAGTAGGGCATAATTTTTTATGTCACAATTGGACAAGCTTTGCAATAAAGATTTTACTGATACCAAATACCAATAGTTAGGTTCGACCACAGTGGCCAATAACAATTAATCAACCGATAGTTTTTAAAGTAGATACTGAATGAAAACTAAAATAGTGCTTTACTATTTAAAAAAAAAAAAGTACTGAACCATATTTTGTAAATAAATAAAAATATTAATATTAAATATAAATTATATATTGATCATTAAAGTTAGCTCATGGATGTTAACAGAAGCAACTTTCAAATTTAAAAATGTATTAGTAAATGTTGAAATTAACACTCTAACAAGGGACAATAATTCAACAGCTTGTATTAACCTTAGTTAATGTTACAAATGGACTCTTATTGTAGTGTTACCATTTCATATCAACAGTCATACTTAAAGATGGCCATCTATAAATATCTACACAAAAGCCTTAGCATTGAAATTACATACATATGGATACTGTATGTATACTCGCACTTTGTTTGCTTCTATTTTAGAACACTTGATGATTATCTAATCAAAAATAACAAAATATGGCAGTCGGCAAAACCGATCAATCGGTCAACCTCTAGTAAGGAATCATGTAGTTCTAGTCATGTAGCTGTTCTATTGCAAAATTGTTTATTTTTGTTTCTGTGTCGGTTTATGAAGCCATCGTCTGAACGGTCAATTTCACATTGTTCCTTTTAGCAATGAAAAACATTCATATTGTGATTCCAATTATATACAGAAAGTGAACAAAGAATGCTCCTTTTATAAACACTTGAGCTGTCAATCATTTTAGTCCAGTGCAAGTTCTGCTCTTTTGCCAAACTCCTGTTATCGTTGAATCTGTCTACAGTGCATGATGAATCTCATATTTATAGAACACAGTGCCTACACTTTGGTTATGGTGAGAGCATTCTCGAGAGTATATGAGCTTGTGCTAAACAAAACTCAAGCCATTACATTCATGTGTTCAACATTGACTACAATGTTCAGTATTAATACTGTAATCCACACTTTTCACAATTAGTTAGTCGTTGCAACTGTAATCATAGTTGCATTTCAATAGTTTTACTTGGATAATTCTTATTTCATATGCAAAGATGTTTCCCAATCATAGCAAGTAAAATTTGACTGCTTTTGATGTAAAAATCCTACCGATATTACACATGGACCTCACATATATATATTAAAAATAATAATAATAATTCATGGCCCCTTTAAAAATCACAATGTTTTTTTTTTTTCCTTTTCATGTAGTAGCCTGGCTTTAGTAGTGTGTACATGGTGTTAGTGAATACAACAACGCATCTGCATCACAATAGTGAATCAGCGTGAAACTTGGCCTTTTTTTGAAGGTCATTATTTTTTCTTATGTTACAAACAATGTGAGGAACTGACCCACACTCCTTCTCTCTCTCACACACCCATATACACATAGATGTCTTTTGTTCGCTGCAGAATTTGCTTTTCATTGTCCATCTGGAGGAAGGGGATTGAAATTCATTGTCAAGTTCCTCTTGTTGACCTCAGCATTATGATCCAGATGCTAAATAAAGAAAGTGACATAAATTTGGCACTCCTCTTGCATGAATATTTTATGGCCTTGATTAAGGGCCGCTGACATTAACAATAATTTGCCGCTACCTGGAAGTTGTTAATTTTTAAAGTCGGCATTAAACGGAAGTTGCGATTGTCTTTTCTTCTCTACTGTGACGTATATCCGAGTGAAACGCCATCTGAAATGAGAGGGCGGGACTTGATTTCGTCCTTCGGGAATTGATTGGATCGTTGGAAGTTGGGGCGTTGCTAACAAAATGGAGGCAGATCTGAATGCCAGTTTGCAGTTAGTGGTGGGGGATTTCTCTCCACTGAATTCACCGCCGACACCTAAGCATAATATAACATGTTAATATAACATGAATAAAGGTTTTATTTATTGAGGACGACGACGACGATCAACGGCACAAAACATGCCTAAACAGCGCGCGCGAGAGACAGAGAGAGAGAGACTGCCTGAATGACTGAGCGCGTCCTCCATCAGGTTAAGTCATATTCATGAAAAAAATTAGTTTGCGATGTCCTAAGAGTAATGTTGTCATAATATACTAATATCTTTTCAATGTTTAGGGGTAACGTACTCCCTCATGACTGGTGTCAGTGCTATAAAGTGAAGCATCAGCTTCAGCTTTTCCCCCTGCCGTTTATTCCAGCATTTACCCCTCCATACCACCATAGCTCGTGACCGGAAGAGAAGATGAGTCATTTTGTGGGGGAGGGGAGGTTAACGTTTTTGATTAAAGATTACGAGGGCGCATGAATTTTAAAAAAAATAATGAAGTGCACGGATAAATTATTTATAATAAACACTACAGTATTCCATAAAAAAATAAGAATTTTCAATTTTGATTTCATGGTGACTTTAAATGATTGGGGAAGTCCAGCAGACATCACCAGAGTTTGATTTAAAAAATGTAATAAAAAAAAAAAGAAAAAAAAGAATGCATTCACAAAATCATTAATGCATATTTAGTTTTTGCTCCTAATAGTATTTGCCCATTTTAATAAAATGCATTTGATTAATAAAATTTTGAAGTCATAAAATGTAATGAGAATAATGTTGCAAGACAATAAATAATATATAACATTTTAAATAAAAACAGGAATAATCCTAATAATAGGATCGTTGTTGTACCATTTTAACAATGAATGAATTCTGTTCAACTATTTGACAGGAAAGTAGGGTAATCGCTCACGGCCTGTAGTCTCTGATAAGCAGAAGCGTATCTTTGCTGAACTTAGCAGGGAAATAGCATGCGGGACCCATCAAATGAAAAACATCCTGGTTGTACTTTTTTTATTTTTACATTGTGGATTGTTCCTATGTGATTTGAAAAAGACCAGTGTTGACCAACTTCCTGAGATTCAAAGACCTTTCAGTTTTACTTATAAGCCACATTTACTTACAAGCCACACACAAAATTGTTATAAATTGTATAGAATGAATCTCAGCAGCTTGATTGCTTATGTTGTCAGTGCATAATTTTTTGTACTGTCAAATGATAACTACAGGTGCATCTCAATAAATTAGAATGTCATGGAAAAGTTCATTTTCGCTATGGAAGAGACAGAGTGAGTTTTAGTCACTTCTGATTTTGAAATGTCCTCAATTAAAGCATACTGAGATTTCAAACCAATACAAAATCAGTGTGAATTGTTCAAAATTATCAATTGCATTTGCTACCATTCTACAGAACAGATTAAATCATCTGTTCTGTAGAATGGTAACACATGATAGATGACCTTCAACACTGACTGCATTCAGCCTCAGCCTTGTATATATGTAGCTCTCAGACACTCACACCTTATAATGTAGACTGCTCACAGTGTGTCTTTATTTATCTAACGGCTGTTTGCATTAACCCAATATAGTTGCAGACAGCTGGCCTCGTACTACAGATGACATATAAAGCAGGAACTTAAGCCACTGTTGTTTCCAATTCTGCTTCCTGTCATTACTATAGAAACTGCCTTGGTACAGGAAGCTGGCCTTCCTCTCTCCCTTATGAGTGGGTGGAAGGCAGAGCTAATGCGGTGAATGACTATTGAATGCAGGTCATGATGGTTTGAAAAGATTTAGTTTAGGGACCAGATCTCACTATTAACTAGTTGCTTATTAGCATGCATATTACTAGCATATTGGCTGTTTATTAATACTTATAAAGCACATATTAATGCCTTATTCTGCATGACCATATTTTAGATCCCTTAATACTAAAACCCCATACCTAAACTTAACTACCTTATTTAGTTTATTATAGTTTATTGAGGCAAAAGGTCGTAGTTAATATTTAGTTAATAGTGAGAATTGGTCCCCAAACTAAAGTGTGACTGAAAAGATTAATAAGCCTAGTGTGCTGGGTCCATTCCCCCCCCGCCCAGTAAGATCAGAGTTATTATCATTAACCAAAAATTTTCTAACAAAACTGAAATAAAAAAATTAAGTACAAATAAATACAAATTTTGGGTAAAAAAAAAAATAAATAAAACAAAAACATAACCAAAAAATACTACAATTCAACTAAAATTTAAATGAAAATTAAAAGCATAAAAATAAAAATTAATTCAAAATATTAATTCTATATAATCTATCATCTATATCCTTAAATTGAATGTTTCGTCTATAATATTATATAAGTAATACTAAAATAATATTAATAAGATGATGACGTTTATTTAAAGAAGGTTCATTCAAATGCCAAGTTAAATGTCCATGTGCATAAGATAATGAAAAATAAAACACTGACTGCATTCAGCCTCAGCCTTGTATATATGTAGCTCTCAGACACTCACACCTTATAATGTAGACTGCTCACAGTGTGTCTTTATTTATCTAACGGCTGTTTGCATTAACCCAATATAGTTGCAGACAGCTGGCCTCGTACTACAGATGACATATAAAGCAGGAACTTAAGCCACTGTTGTTTCCAATTCTGCTTCCTGTCATTACTATAGAAACTGCCTTGGTACAGGAAGCTGGCCTTCCTCTCTCCCTTATGAGTGGGTGGAAGGCAGAGCTAATGCGGTGAATGACTATTGAATGCAGGTCATGATGGTTTGAAAAGATTTAGTTTAGGGACCAGATCTCACTATTAACTAGTTGCTTATTAGCATGCATATTACTAGCATATTGGCTGTTTATTAATACTTATAAAGCACATATTAATGCCTTATTCTGCATGACCATATTTTAGATCCCTTAATACTAAAACCCCATACCTAAACTTAACTACCTTATTTAGTTTATTATAGTTTATTGAGGCAAAAGGTCGTAGTTAATATTTAGTTAATAGTGAGAATTGGTCCCCAAACTAAAGTGTGACTGAAAAGATTAATAAGCCTAGTGTGCTGGGTCCATTCCCCCCCCGCCCAGTAAGATCAGAGTTATTATCATTAACCAAAAATTTTCTAACAAAACTGAAAAAAAAAAATTAATTACAAATAAATACAAATTTTGGGTAAAAAAAATAAAAAATAAAACAAAAACATAACCAAAAAATACTACAATTCAACTAAAATTTAAATGAAAATTAAAAACATAAAAATAAAAATTAATTCAAAATATTAATTCTATATAATCTATCATCTGTATCCTTAAATTGAATGTTTCGTCTATAATATTATATAAGTAATACTAAAATAATATTAATAAGATGATGACGTTTATTTAAAGAAGGTTCATTCAAATGCCAAGTTAAATGTCCATGTGCATAAGATAATGAAAAATAAAGTCACAAACACACCGTCACATTTCTGACATTCTCTGCAGGTTATGTTCTCATTTGAAGCTGGACGACGATGTGAGTCTGGGCCAGGGAACTTCACCTTCGAGACAAAGCAGGGAAATGAGATATTCCACATAGTTGAGGAATCCATTCGGGAGCAGAAAGCCCAAGCTGAAGAACGACACCAAAGCTGTCCATCATTAGACTCTGACTGCCCAGCTCTCCAGCAGATCCGTGCTGCCATCTCGGAAGCAAACAGTCGTGAACCAGATGGAGATTCTGGTGGTAGCAAGCCTGGGTCCGCGGATGGTGTTTTTGGTAGAAAAGAGAACGATGGGAAAAATTTTAAAGGCCGAAGCCTTCCAGAGCCGCCGCCTCCCGTTGGTGGAACCCCGCCACGATCTCCCATGCCACGTGGGTCCAAAAATATGTTAGAGGACCAAGGGAGTCTGTACTCAGAGCCCGCTGACTCGGTCCGTGCACCGCCCAGTCCAGGGGACTGTTTATACTCAGACCCGGTAGACAGTATCAAAGTCTTGCCCACTCCTAACCCACGCCTCAGGCCGACTGGCGATGAGGGGGGTAGCCGCCACCCGGGCATCAAGCCTGAGCCATTCTATTCAGACATCTATGATCAGATCAGTCTTGACTTGGTGCAGAGGACAGTGGCATTGGGACTCGATGGGCGAAGCAGGCACCCTGCAGATGGAAGTCCTACAGAGCATATATACGATGAGCCAGAGGGACGTGCTGGATCTGCACCGCCTATTATCACGCTTTATGATGAAGCACGGTTGGAAATGCATTCCTGGAGAACCAGGGGAATGGAGGAGCCTCAATGTCATGAGGTGGCTCAACAACCACTGCCAGTGCCCAGACCAAAAGGCCCCAAACCTGTCACAGCACCCAAACCAGGCAAAGTAGCACTGCCCAAGAAAGACACTCCTCCTCTGCCTCAAATTAAAGGCAGTGCTAACCTGAACAACAATAACAGTAGCAACAGCCATAACAGCACGGAAGGTGTTAGAAGAGATGCTGGTGCAGGAAACACTGTGGAGCTTTACAGTAAAGTATCTAGACATCAGCCGCCTCCAAATGCATGGCATCCTATCATGCAGTCTCCAGACATCATCTATGACAACTTAGGTGACATTTGACCTAACTTTTTTCAACATTTAGGCATTCTGGTCTCCTTTTTCTTAACCCTTAGATGTTTCATTGAAGGAAATGCGTTCATGGTTAACAAGGGAGCGCTCCGTGTCAGTGCTTGGATTGAAACCTTAGTCATATAGTCACTGACTGTCAAAATGATTGAGAGCTAAGACTGTTCAAACCTTGTGTGGATAATGCCCTCTGAAAGGGCTTGTACTGGCACATGCCAGAGTTTTGCACTTCTTGGGCAAAGTAGTCCTGTTTTGTAAATCTGAGTCTGTGACTTCTGGAAGAGATTACGAAGCACTTGTCAAAACACTCGGCTCCCTGGAGAATTTGAGTGTTGTTGTGTGAACGGTATCTGCCAGATCCAATTTAATGGTTGAAATGCAAAGACAAAAAGGTCAGTTATTGCACAGACAAACCTTGAATTGTTTTCCATGGAGATTGTAGCAAAAGGATACTAATCCACTGCTGTGAGTGAGTGTGTGTGTGTGTGTGTGTGTTTTATATATATGTGCGTATGTGAACGAGTCAGCAGCTGTGCTGTTGTTTAACATGGCGATGATAATAAAAATTATAGTACAAGAGAATTCTGTAGTTATTCTTGCTTTTCCATTTCCAAAAATATACATGTACATGCATATCGAAGGAAAAATCTGGACTTGGCTTGTTAGGAGGGCATGCAATCACTCTGAATGCCCGATCCTTCACTCTCGGTCCCTTATTCATCTAGTCCTATGTTGTCCTGAACAGTGTCTGACATCTGAGGGATAATCCTGATGCAAAGTGAATATTAACCATCTGTGTAAAATAGGGGCCTTACTTCAAATGGGAGTTAAATGTTGGCTGAGTTTATATGTGTCTGCCTGGCAGTGTGTGAAGGTACAGACTGTTCCCTGTCCTGTTTTCTTTCTCGTTCACCCTCTCACTCATTTCCTTTTGTCCTCTCTCCAGTCTCCCCAAGTCTTTTCTTTCACTGCTAAAGTTTGTTTTCTTTTGAGCAGTCTGCCAAAATCTGATCTATTCATCACATTCTGCTGTATTTTTTCAACATTTAGTGCTCTTAAGCAGAAAAGCAGTGAATGTGTTGACAGAGCAGAGTCCTTCATCTAAAAAGAATGCATTGATTTGGTCCAAGGTCTGACTTGTTTAAAAATGCACAGTTTACCATCATACTGGGTTGCAGTGCTAAATTTTAACAGCGGATTACTCATAGGTATTAAAAAAGGAAGAGGACTGTCAACACTTTTTTTCCCCTCTTATTATTATAGTCATTTGCAGTCAGTATTATTTTTAATTTAGTTTGACAGTTATTTGTCTATTTAGTTACTTGTTGTTGGATATAATACAAACATACTTTATAAATATTTGAGACAAGCATCATGCTAAGCACAGATGTTTTCTATTTAGAGACCTATGTTACCACTAAAGCTTTAAATAGTGTATGTGTCTTAAAGAGGTCAAGTTATCAGTTTCAGTTTTGGCACCATGTGGATAAAAAAGGTATACATTGGTTCAGTTTGGATGCACTTCTCATGTTGTATTAGTTCCTGTTTTCTTGAATGTTCCGTTTATGTTTTCGTTCCGCTGGCCACTTGATGCTTGGATAACCGAACGGAAAACAGAACTGAGCTATTGTTCTCTGAAGTGTGAAGCAAATGATGGGGAAGTGCATTCGTTACTTGAAAATGTTACATCTTGCAACCAAAATTCAACAAAAAGAATCTCACAGGTTAAAATACAATCTGTACTGTACTTAAAAGTACACATCAGCGAACATCATTTTTGCATTAATCACCTAATATGTACTGTATATTATTTAAAGGGGTCATAGGATGCTACATGCACTTTTACAATTGTTTGAACTGAAATGTGTGTTGGCAGTGTGTGTACACAACCACCCTATAATGATAAAAATCCACCCAGTGTTTGTTTTTTTAATCTGGTTAAATGTTTTCCTCTTTCTCAAATCGAGCCGATCTCAGATGCCTGTCTGTGTGACGTCACACAGACAGGCCCCTCCCACGATAGTTTGATTGACAGTAGCGTTTCAGCACAGACTGGACTGGCGTCTTACCTTAGCTCCGCCCTGAGTGAGCTGTCATCAGTCCGCCATTGTTTCACCGCTGATGAAGACAAGAATGACTCCTAAGCGATTGAGGTGTTCTGTTGTTGTACATGTAATAATGTATATGTTCGCGCGAATCATTCATGATCCAGCCTCATCTACAGAAGAAGTGAGTATAATGTTTTGTAATGAATCTTTGCAAATCGCCTTTCCTAATAATGTGCTAATTAGCAAGTTTCAGGATGAATGCGGCTAAAGTAAACAGTTTCTCTGAGACCAGCTCGGAAGAGAGGGGCGGGGTCAGCATAGCTCATTAACATTTAAAGGAAAATGCTACAAAAACGGCGTGCTCTGAAAAGAGCTGTTTTTGACAGGATAAAAAATAATGTTTTGTAATGAATCTTTGCAAATCGCCTTTCCTAATAATGTGCTAATTAGCAAGTTTCAGGATGAATGCGGCTAAAGTAAACAGTTTCTCTGAGACCAGCTCGGAAGAGAGGGGCGGGGTCAGCATAGCTCATTAACATTTAAAGGAAAATGCTACAAAAACGGCTTGATCTGAAAAGAGCTGTTTTTGACAGGGTAAAAAGGGTGTTTTTTACACTACCATTGAGAAAGTTTAACCAAACTATGTTACAGACTTTTTATTAAGACCCCAAAGAATCATATGAACTTGTGGAAAATGGGCATCCTATGACACCTTTAATACCTAAAATGGACTTCTGACAAAAAGGTTGAATAGTATGCACATTGACACATATTTAACAAATATTGAACATTTTCTTAAAATGTTCTATAAATTATACTGTTAATCCATGTGGTATACAATAATATATTGATTTTGGAAACCTGAGATCGCTAACATTGTTCCTTTAGAGAAATATATGATATAGTCAAATTATAACAGTTCTTTTTAATGGATTATTAAATTTCTCAAGATAGTTTTTCCAACTTATTTTCACACCAAATATGTTTTAGGCTTGCTTGATTTCATTCTCATGTAAAATTTAGTTTCTATTCTTAAAAGGGCAACTGCAAAACATTAAACACCAGCAATATTTTTTTTAAAAAACCATTTATAATATACAAGAAGTGTTAATAAAAATATAGAAGTAATATATAAATAAAAAGTGTTTACAAAGATTAACTAAGACTAAAAAATTATTACAATGAATATTCTTAACTTAAGTGATTTGGGCACTGGTCCCTAAGACAATGCATGCTTGGAAAACAATATATATACTCCCTACTGAATCTTTTTCATAACAACTGAAAAGGTTAGGAAACCGTGAATGTAAAATATGAAAAAAAAAAGGGGAAATGACGTGAGATCTTCTCTCTATGTCTGCTTTTTATGCTGATTGCACAGTGCCAAACCTCATCATGACGTCATAAAGACAAGGCGTAGGTGGTGCCAGGTGGGTGGAATGACGGAAAACTTAATGAGGCAATACTGATGAGGTCTAGTAAGAGAGGCCCATCGAGTAACATTAGATCTCTCTGACATCAGTCTGCATTCAGAATCACGCTTCTCAGATCTCACAACTCTAAACCAGCGCCTCCAAAGCTGAACCTTGTTCCATTCCTGCTCAGCTGAGTACAGTGTGTCTCCCTTGGGGCTGTACTGGAGGCTTCCATAAAGGAAGACAATGGCTCTACTTTTCCACTACTCTGGCCTTCTTCCTCCTCAACTCTCTTCAGAGCCTTCTAGCCACAGCATTTACACTGAGAAGGCAGTTCTTTCTTTTTAAGCAGCCTTCCTTCTTGTCCTTTTACAATTCTGTGGTTTTGTATTTGATTTCTTTTAGCAACCTCAGCAGCTCACAATTATATATTTTTTCCCAGTTGCGGTGCAGGCTTTATTAAACCGTATGGAATGGCAGTTAGTTTAATTACTCCTCCAAGAGTGAAATTACGCTAGTTACTATAAGGACTGGTTTCATTGCAAACATTTGGGTAACAAAACAGCTTGTTTTGTGCATACTAGGTGTCTGAAATATGAAGGCTGTTTTTGCAGTGTTAGGCTCAAAGTTGCAAGTAATGTAACGAGGTTATTTAATCTGAGCTGTAATGTTTTTTAGATGTAAGGAGATACATGGAGCTGTGATGTTGCACTTACTAAATGGTATTCTGAAGAATTAACTTAACCTAGCCAGCCCTTGTCTTGTTAGAAATAATAAATAATTGTCAGGTTTTATTTTAAAACGTATTTAAAACTTTTTTTTTAAAGAATAATCAGATGCTATCCAACATTATCATGTTTTTTTCCCTGTGTTTTTATCTGTATAGCTAGCTTAAGGTGTATACCGAGTGTGTAAAACTGCGTTAGATGAGAGAATCTAAATTCAGTACTGTTTTCTCTTGCACAGTAGTGTTCTCTGAATAGTAAGCCAAATTTGTATAGCAAATATACATTTCAAATTAGCTGTACATATAATAGTGTATATCTGGTCATGTTCAAGTATGTAACATCCTGTCTGTGGGAGTTTAGAAACGATTGCTCTGAGTTTGTGCACAGAAGTTGGTGTCAGTGTGAGTGTGAGTGTGAATGTGCAATTTCCTCTCATAGTGAAAGTTTTATGCTTTCTCTCTTTCTCCTTACTGGATCATCAAAGGGTCTTCCTCCTCATAGCTGTCCTGGAAGAGGGCAGGGGCACAGGGTCGGTAGTGGCTGAGGGTTAGTAAAGGGCGAGGCATCTTGTTTAAAGGAATGGACGGCAGCGGGGCCACTGTGGCTCACACACGACTCTGAGACTGCCGACCCTGTCAACCAAAAATGACAGCAAACAAAAATGAGAAAGTTAGCAAGAGCAAAACATAGTGTCAGAACATGTCAAACTCTCTATTAGAGTATCTGTTTGGTGCTCTTTGTCTTTGACTGCACATTTTGAAACAAAAGAACCAAAGTCTTGAATGACTTGAATGTCTGTTTTGCTTCTCCTTCAAGCCTAGCTGTAAGTGTCATTGTGACCTTCTAACACTTCTCTGTGTATGCAGATTTAGCCCCTTTAGGCAAAATATTCTGTATTGCACAGAAATCTAATTTTGAAACAAAGAACATTATGATGTAAAAATGAATAATAAATGTTCATACGAAAAGTTTTTGCACTATTTCTAGGTCACTGATCAAATATGTAAAAGTCACAATAGTGATCATGTGACACTTTGTACTGATAATCAGATGTTCCATTTCCACTGAAGCTCAAGTTGCTCTTAGGATCATCCCAAATCATGCTGGAGAATATGATGATCAGGTTTGACAAACTCCCTATCAACTGGTGGAACTTGCATGCTTTATTTAAAATATAAATATCTCCTGTCACATTTCCTCAGTGCACTAGCATAATTACTACATTTTTGTGTTTGCAATTATATTTATGTAATATATTTATATAATACATTTATGTGTTTGCAAATATAATTATAATATAATTTGCATTATATCTTTCTATCGATCATGAACATGTTTATGATAGTGTGACATCACAAAGCATTTGTGG